CAGAGTGTTGTTCAGCATGGGGGTGAGTAGAAAATGAAGGCTAATCATGTTTTGGTTGTACTATTCCTTTAAGCTTGGAAACAGCCCCATCTGTTGGCTACCATCAGGTCAGGCCTGTCATTCAGGCAACGTGAATGGGTTCAAATCACAAAAGCCTTCCTTACACTAGTGATCGCTAACAAATTTAATCTGACATGTTTGAGCTCCAATGCAGGGAAGGCATCACTACTCACCGGGTGACGAGCTTGGTGTGGGGGACATCACTCCGTTGGTCAGGCTCTCTGTTACCATGTTAGCGTTCTGGAAAAGAAAATGAATTTATGTTCATAGAAATGCTAACCTGTGTGTTGTTCTCTGTGTTTTCCTGTTTCAAAACAAAAATGCAAAAAAGTAAAATAATCCTGTTCTTGTTTTTTTTTAACTTACATGCAAAAATGTAATATTAAACCTATTGAAAATCAACATAATTAAATTTTTCCTTTAGTTGTCTAAATCCAAAACAAAATTTTCTAATAGTATCTGTGTTCTTCTAAAAGGGTTTTAGAGCAATGGTTGCAGATTAAAATTCTGCTAATTGAGCAAAATTGACAATAAAAACATTCATTTGTTTCAATTTGTCTTTTCTCCATGTAAGTAATAAAAAAAAGAAAATGCTCAGACAAATGGGTAAAGGATGTTAGGTTAATTGGGTTCAAATAAAGGGTAAATAGTAGCACATATTGCAGCTATTAGACAATAGGCACTTTTCAGTCATCCTTTGAGAAACTGGCAGAAGCTGAACTCAAACTCTATTCTGCTTTGATCGCATGAATTTTTCTAAGTTAAAAAAAGATACTGAAATCTGCAATGCTTTAGCTCGTTACAGGGCTCCAAATTACTCTGCTAAGAGCTCACCCTGTTAGCAAGGTGAGGAAAGGAAATGCTGCAAAGGAAGGATGGGAAAGGCCGCTGACTTTGAGACAGACTGGATACATCCAGTAAACCGTCACCACACCCTTTCATGGTGAGACGTAATTAGAATGAACAAGCCTTACGAATTATTGCTAAACAATTCTAGTTTTCTTTTTAGTCTGATGTTCTTGTGATTCCCTCTTTCCACTTTAAATAAAAAAAAACAAACCAAAATAAAACAGTCTTTGTAAGTGAACAAACTCCCATCCTAAGAAGAGGATCAAAGATATACTTTGGCCTCTAAAGAATCAGGCTGTAGGTTGAGCTTGTAAGCGCTCACACCCATAAAGGATATTTGACTAGGTTTCTGTCTCTTGTGGCAAAACAACTTCAATATGATAAGAATTTGCATAAAAATATTTTAAATTAAAACTCAAACGCTTAAGAAGAACGGATTAGAACACAGACATAACCTGACAAAAACATAGGAAGGACAGGTTGGGAGGAGGATGTTGGCCTGGGAACAACAGGCTAACGTCTCCTATTCTCAGACTCGCTGAGGCTGAGTCAGCATCCCCGTATCCTTCTGATAAAACACTGATAGGAAGCGCTACTGTAGAAAGCAAACTGAGTGTAAACTTTAGAGGAAGAGTGTTCATGTCACGCTAGCTGTATGTTGTACCTCAGCCTGTGCTGGCTCAGGCGTTTCCTCCTCTGAAGGTCCTTGGATGAGGGGAGCAGCTGTTGGAGGACAGCTGGGGGACTGGGGGGCGACGTCAGGGACAGAGTGGGGGGTGTCACACTGGTTGGGTGGCTGTAACGGGATGGCTGAATAGATCTGTTCACTGTGTGGAGCTCTCCCATTGTCAACAGGACCTGTGACACTGTCTGATGTTTCTGGAGGGACAGCGGGTTCTTCTACGAGGACAAAGATTTAGAAAAAAAAAGTGATTTTAATCAACTTGTTCAAGTTAATATTCTAGATTTACTTTGATAAAACTATTCAATAGAAAGACGCTATAAACAACAGATTTTTTTTAACAAACCCAGGAATAAAAAAAAGACAAAGAATTAATAAAAATGCTTAGAAAACACTTTTCTCCCCCAATCAGAAGAAACATGCATTTACCGTCTTGTTTGTTAGTGAATATCTGATCAGAGCCTCCAAAACCGTCGAGCCCACAGGCCGATCCAGCCTCCTCAGTGTTTCTGAAAGTCAGATTAAGGATTGTTTAAAATATATAGCCTGACATGTCGTTAGCCTCTATGATATCAGTCCTATAGGGAAATACGTCAGATAGACAGCTAAAATGCATCAGTTCATCCTTGGTTCCTCCTTTTATTACAATGTTATGAAAGTGCAGGTTATAGCTTCATAAGAGGTTAACAGTTTACCTTAATCATATTAATTTGTTTATTTTTCTCCATAAAAACAGAAGCAACACTATCCTTTAGTATAGAAAGAAATTCACATGTTGGATAAACTCTTTTGGGGTTTTTTTTTTTTCCACATGAAAAGAAACCCACAAAGAAAACTATTCAAAAAGACTCCAAGCAAGATCAATTTGAATAAAACAAGAAACGGTCATGAGGCAGGTTTGATAAATCGATTGCTAAACCCCTAAAAAAGGAGTTTGGTGTAAAATCTTGCTTGTTTGATTCAACAAATGCACAAAATGTATGTGTCAGAATCCTTTCATGTAGCATCGTATTGACCTTTCAGTTTTTACAGCTGCAGGCTGTAAGCAGGGTTAGCTGCTGTCAACCACCTGAGTCATGTGCTGCGAACTTCTCACTCTGCTGGGTTTTGGTTTACAGAGGCTAAAAGCAAATAAGAAATTTTTTTTTTCTCCAACTTTTTTGATTTCTTCTTGAATTTGTTTTTTTTTTTACACAGTCTTTAAAATGGTATCTTATTTATGTGTATGATTAAGTGAGTGACCATGGATTTCCATATGGTACGGATGAAGGTTTGCAGGTGTTTGTATCCATGTTAGGAATGCAGGTTGGGAATTTGCTTTGTTTCATACATTATATATAATATGTTTTTTTTTTGCAGCATTTTAATTTAATTACCAACGTTATTTACAGCAATTCTTATCTATTTTTAATACCTTTGTGTTTGTGCTGCTTCACTGAGCTCTTATATTGCTCCTGGAGGACAAATTACATTTAAATTAAATTAATAATAACCTACGAAACTCTGATGGGTCAATGGTATAATAAGTTTCCTCATAATGTGTCAGAATTAATCACTTTATTCAAAATTACTTCCACTGAGTGATTTCATGCTTCCTAATGTTTTTGGAGTACTGAGTAGCTCTTACTCTGCACCGGGTGACACCGCCGTCTCCTCCTGCTGTGGCTCCTTCGATGGCTTCTTGTTTTTATCTGCTTCATCTCCACTTTGAGGGTCATTGAGTTCATCTGCATGAGGAAAAAAAACAGTTGACTAAAAGAGAGAACACATAAATAACCATAAAAATTAGCTCAGTGCTAATATCAGGAACAGTTAAATCCACACAATAACAATAGGAAACTGAATAAAAAGATAAAAAAAAGTTTTTAGATAAAGCATTTCTATTTTTATGAGCAAATTACAGTAAAGAGTTCTGAAATTTGAGAAGTTTAATTCCATAAAAAGGTGATAGTTTGATAAAAGCAAATCGTTTTCTAAACTTTGCAAAAAGTTAAAAAAAATTCTGGACACTAAATTAATTTTAATGATTCAGTTAAAGAAAATTAGGATTACATCCCACCAAGGCATTCCTGGGCTTCCAAAGTTTAAACTGTCATCAGCCAATCACTGTTCATACACATTAGCTGCGTCCGAACATCCGCCCTAAAGGCCAGTTTATACTCAGAAACCAGGTCGTCTGCATGTGTGTCGCAGTTAACGCAGACATGCCCCCCCTGACTGTGCCGCACCCCTCCAAAATTGTAGTTGACTGCAGTCAGTGCCACAGACAGGAAGCCTCTGATTGGTCAAATCTACATCCGCTCTACACTATACGTATTACCTGTTTGGTACCTTACCTGCTTGTTTTGTTAGTATGACCACCATTGTGAAGATGGACTAGCTAGAAGCAAGGTGCACGACAACGCTCTGACCCTTTTTCCACCTGGATCCCCACTCCTTTTCACCGTTATGTCCCTCCGTTGTCGCCTTGGCTGTATCTAGACCCACAGCTAGTTCCTAATTGTCCCTCTTGCGTTGTGGTGTGGAATAACATAGCGCAGACCACGCTTCAAAATTGGGCATAAATCAAAAAAATCTGCGACAACCTCACTGTGACACACTGCTGCGGGAGGATAACCAGCCCTTAAACCCCTCAATCACCATATAGAACGGGGTCTATATAGAGGACTTTATAGTGAACTCAGTTAACTGACCGTTTGGACAGATAATCACCACTTTCTGCCCCCATTGGTCACATGACTCTACCTCTACGCACGATTCCTGCCCCATCTTTGTTATTTGTTGCCACTGTCGGGTAGCAACAGCCGTAGGCAACAGCCGTAGGCAACAGCAGGCCAGTGTGACACCAAATCCCATAATGCTTTGCGAGGAGAGCTCTCCTCGGAAATAATTTCAGGATATATCTGCTCTTCTAGTGACAATGGATGATCACTCCTTTTCAAGGTGCTTTATGGGGAATTTGGAGTCCACTACTTTTTCATCCACCAGACATTTGGACACTCATAAAACGGCGTAACAGCTATATAGTGCCCTATATAGTGAATAAGTCAGACATTCAGACACAGCCATTCACTCAAAACTGATAAACTAGATAAATGTTTATTACTTTCCTACTGTTTACAACGGCAGAGCGGCCAGCTTGTCTAACAAGTGTGTCTCACAGCTTGTGTTTGTATTCATTTTGTCATCAGGTCAACTCCAATAAGGGGTGACTAAAATAAGAGAATACGTTTTAAAAAGCTATTTCTTTCATTGTTAGTTTGTTTTCAAACTAAAGGGAAAAACAAAAATGTATCAATTGGATTTGTTTTTAAAAAAAGAAGAGATTTTATTTCTGTCATATTGCCCAGCCCTAGCAATACATTAATGAAGCTAATGAGATAAATGTATGATTTATACGTGCCGCCATTCTGTGACTCCTCATTGAGGTATTCCAGGAGACCATCGAAGATTTCCAGGAGGTTCTTGATCGACTCTTTGTCTCCTCTCACCACATTTTCTCCTGCAAATACAAACTCACTGAATAAGGTCTACGATTTAACCCTGAATATTTCAACACACTACTTCAGAAAATAGCTAAACTCTCTGTTAAAGAGACAGAAACTAACAGATAAATGTATTTTTCCTTACCTGTGATGTGGGAGAGGCTGATCTGAAGGTAATCCAGAGACAGGGAGTCAATCACAGATTGAACATTGTGGACCTCATCTTCCAGACTGCTCGGCGATTTAATAAAATCTTAACGCAAACATAAAAAAATGCATATCAGCACAAAGGAAAACAAGTTATAAAAAAATCTGTGGACCAGTATAAACTGCACAAATCTTCATTATTAAAAACATGCCTCAATCAATTTGAACTTCCACTTTCACTGATGTTTACAGGAGGAAGCAGCTGGATGTTTGCGTTTTCAGGAAACAGTTCACAACTTGTTTAAACATTAAGAATGTAAACATGTTACATAACAGTAAAAGGTTATACTGGGGCTGATTATTCTCTATTCACGTCATTAATCATCATGATATGAAATCTTTCATTGATTCATTTAGCTTTTGGATGATCTCAGAGTCTTAAGGAAAGTTTGTCCACCAACACACGATAAACACCCGGTCACCAGGTCATCCCCAGAAACGTTTAATCTAGATGCAGCGCTTACCTGGAACCGTCTCTCCGAGGATCTTCTCGTATAAAGTGATGAAAACATGTGCATTGCAGTCCGACAGCACCCCCACCCTAAGGTTTACGTTACACCTGCTGAGGAGATTGTTTGCCACATCAACCCAGTCTGTGGAGGGGAAAAAAGGGCAATGGTTAGTTAGAAGTTCTTCTTGTGAGAAAATATAATCATGATTTTTAATTGAATCACAGAGATCAACAATCTGGTTGAAGGATGAAATGTTTGACTGTTTGGACTCAAACTTTTATGTAACCCTCAGACAGACAGAGGATTACATGTATTCAGTAATGAACAACATGGAAGGATTAGTTTTAGGAGCTTTAGAGTCTCCTCCTTATCCTTTGTTAATGCATCAATGAACCTCCTCTGTGGTTTTCCATCCACTATCTCTCCTCTGTAATAGTCCAAAGCACCTAGCATCACATTTCTGCAATTCCTCTAAATTCCCCCACTATGACACTCTGATGCTACTATTTCTATACATCTGAGTAAACCCATTAATAATTGTAACATATTTATATGTATGTCCTATCTGTTGGTTTGAAGCAGCTTTTCCAAATTACATAGAGCAGCCAGAGGATCCTCTGTTATTAAAGACCCCTGATTGTTGCCTTCATCCACAAAGACCCTGGTTGTTACCATCAGCGAATCCTTTTAATTCTCCTGTTAAACTAATTATATCTACTGGTTTTTAACAGATTTCTTTTTTGTTTTTGTTAAATAATATAAACATTATGTTTAGTAAAAATATGTCCAAAATTAAATAAAACTGAAAATACTGAAATATATGAATATGTTTGATTTTACATTTGTTAAGTATGTGCAAATATCAAAATCTAAATCCAGACTTTACTTGTGCTAAACTAGTTGTTCAGTGAAAGCCTGGAACATTAATAAACTGAGAGCATGATGAGGACCAAGGAGCCAAGCGTAAAGGTAGAGGTAAATTTTGCAGAGGGGCTGTAATCGATGTAAGGCAGGGGTCGCGCCGCTCTTTAATGCACCCCTCCTGGATTTTTTTTTTTGTTTGCTTGTTTAAATATGGAGTGCCGGAGTTCAAACAAACATTAATTATGTTTCCAATGCTTTAAAAATGTGTTCCAAAAGTGTTAAAAAGAATAATCCACTGGACTTTGTTTTCCAAGTTTGAAGACGTTTCGCTTCCAATCAAGGAAGCTTTTTCAAATTCAAAATGGCGCGATTAGTTTCAAGCTTTATAGAGTAGCCCAACAAAGCCTTGTTATGGCTTTAAAATCTGTATAGTAAATACATTTAAACGATAAATTGTAACATTTCTGTCAATGAAGATTTGTGAGATAGCCTTCCACAGACATTTCAGCACGTTTCGGTGCCAGGCAGGTGGCTGTTGCAAACAAACTGGCGGGTCTGTGTTGGGCTATGGACCTCAAAGGGAAAAAATCGAAGATAACTTATGAGAAGAGAGGATTTAAAGAAGAATGAACCAAATCATTTGCTTTCATTACCAATGCGAAAGGATTGCCTGAATGTTTGCTTTGTAACAAGAAGTTGTCAAGAAATAAAAAGAGTAATTCGGAAAGGCATTTCCATTGAAGGCAGGCTAAATAGGCAGCCAACCACCAAGTTGCTAGTGAAATAAAAAGGGCTTGCATTTAGATTGCATTTATTTCTGGATAAATTAGAGGAGCGCAAAGATATATTTAAGAAGGGGATTGCATCTGCAAACTCCGCTACTGCTGCTAGGTTTGTTGCGAGAATGGAAAGCCATTCACAGATCAAATAGGTAGTGCCTCCTTAAAATAGGAATAACACCAAAAATGTGATTTTTTTTTATCATGTTTCTAAGATTTAATCAATATAACAAAACCTAGTATATTAATATTGTAATGGAATTTAAACCTAAAAAAACAGATATCGTACAGCAGAGTAGTCACATGATGCGATATTTGCTGCAGGATAAACATTTAACCATGAATGCTTGTTGTATATTTTAATATTGGGCTGGTACACTTAGAGTCTGTGTTGCCATGCAAGGTTTATGTAAGCCTTTTACATCTTTGCGGCCCCAGACAAATGTCGTTTTGTTTTAGGTCCAATATGGCTCTTTGAACAGTTTGGGTTGCCGACCCCTTGTGTCATTTTTACGTTGAGTCAAAGATTTAATTTCCTCTCAGCCTGCACCAGGGCAGCTGTGGTTACAATGAAGCTGTTCACCATCAGCGTGGGAATGATTGCCTGAAAGACTGAACGTAGTGCAATGCACCACGTTCCACCATGGATTTTCACCCCATTTTGGTGAGTTGAGCGTTGGTCCGCCACTAAGGTGGGGAAATATTTTGACACTACCACTGTGGTTTGTACAGCTTTGTGAAGACATGACAACAAGACTGTTTTTGTGAAAACAAAGCCACAAGAGGTCATGTTTAACGTTAGCCGCTGGTGATATAGCAGACAAAGAGATGTTCAGAGCTGGCAGAGACCCTGAAGCAAGATGTGATTCAACTAAGCTGAACACACAAATAAACACCACTTTATGCCTCAGATTCTCCTTTGGTATCTTTTTTTTTTAACCCATGTACCACTACCCTGCTACTTTACAGAAAGACTACGCTTTGTGTTGTTTAATCACAAGAAAACCTTTTAAAAAACACATTAAATATAAAAAAAAGACAAATAAATTAGCATGAGTACTTTTGCAAAACATTCACTTTTTACAGACTCCTTATTCATCAGCAACCAAAACAAACAAAACATTTGTTATATTTGTCTCTGGATGAAACCAATCTGCTGCCCAATGACATCCTCTCATTTAAAAATAAGGAATAAATAAATAGAGATATCTTTTTGATCTAGCTTCTTCGCTCTTTCTTACATCTTTATATGTCTGTCTAGCTGCATTGGTTCCCAGTTACTCCAGCTCTTCAGATTACACTTATTCATGAAAATCTGAGCCAGCAGCCTTCCTAGCAACTCCTCCATCATCCTCCCGCTCCAAGGATGTTATTAAACTATTAATTTGCAATAAAAAAACAATTTTTTTCAGACCAATCGCTGGAAAAGCTTCCTTTACTTCCTGCTGTGCGCTGTTACCCACCTTCTTCCTCATTCATTACATCCTTAAAGTGTTCCTTATTCACTTTCACACCGTCACTCACTCTTTTAAAATGGGTTAACACTCATTTTAAAACTAATAATAACTACTGTTACATGGCGAAGGTATGTTCTAAACAAAAGCAAGAAGTGTTTTGGTTTTTAAAACAAGCCAAACTTGATGGGAACATCAGCGCCTTCTCTAACACTGTTTGAATTCAACAAGCTAACGTTGCTAACGGCTGCTAACAGAAACTTGACGTATAAGGATAAACTGTGACCTTTATTATTCATACTAACGATGTCTCTAGCAAACGGATGTCCAACTAAAAGCCTTCGCAACAGCAGCAACACAGAAAACAACTTTAGCCGTGAGCGTTACGTGTCGCTAGCTTTCACCCAGACAGTCCTGGCAGCCTTACTTCTCTCTCCCTCCTGGGTTCCCATGAAATAACTGTGGAAGATAAAAAGGTCGCTGGGGTTTCAAAGGTGACGATGAGCCAAAAAAAGGACAAAGTCCCAAATGGCGAACCGGGGCCCAATAGATTAGTATCGGTGCTGTAGTTTTTCGGTATCGGCTCACATTCAAAACTGTGGTCTTGTTTGATTGGACGTTAGCTCGCTGTTGTTTGAGGAAGTAAAAGCTGCTCCGCTGCGTGTCGCCCCCTACTGGTGTCTGACGATATACCGCACTATTTGGCGCGTGAATTAAACCGCCATGTTGGAGAGGGCGACCTTAAAACTTAGGTCACTGATATATTCCAGGCTCATTATATCAGTGATGACAGGTCACAGATGTTGGTAGAAGGTGATTTAGATAAAGGTTTGAAAGTTTTCATAAACGTAATAACAGTTTATAAACATTCCCCTTTCAGGTTGCATAACTTTTACAGTTTTGGACTTACCAATGTTAGATTCTGAAATTAAAGATATATTAAGGAATTATGGAAAAAAACTAAATTTGAGCTAAAAAGAGGATGCAGACATATTCAAGGAAGGAAAACTAGACAGCAAAATATATACACTGCCCCAAAAAAAGAAAGGAACACTTTAAAAACACATCAGATCTCAATTGGAATCATGCTGTTTATTTATATTGATATGGACTGGGTGATGTGTTAGGAACAAAGGGTGCCAAATCATTTGACGGACATGAAATTTATCAACCTACAGAGGGCTGAATTCAAAGACACCCCAAAAATTACAGTGAAAAAAATTATGTGGCAGGCTAGTCCATTTAGCTGACATTTCATTGCAGCAACTCAAAATTGTATTCAGTAATTTGTATTTCCCCCCACGTGTGTGTATGCATGCCTGACAACGTCGGGGCATGCTCCTAATGAGACGATGGATGGCGTCCTGGGGTATCTGCTCCCAGATCACTGAGCTCATCACTGAGCTCCTGAGGTGCAACCTGGCTGCGTCGGATGGATCAAATCATAATGTTCGAGAGGTTTTCTATTGGATTTAGGTCAGGCGAGCGTGGGGGCCAATCAGTGGTATCAATTCCTTCATCCTCCAGGAACTGCCTGCATACTCTCACCACATAAGGTCGGGCATTGTCGTGCACCAGGAGGAACCCAGGACCCACTGCACCAGCATATGGTCTTACAATGGGTAAAAAGGATTTCATCCCGATACCTAATGGCAGTCAGGGTGCCGCTGTCTAGCCTGTAAAGGTCTGTGCTTCCCTCCATTGATATGCCTCCTCAGACCATCATTGACCTACCACCAAACCGCTCATGCTGAACGATGTTAGAGGCAGCATAACGTTCTCCATGGCTTCTCCAGACCCTTTCAGGTCTGTCACATGTGACATCTGTGAAAAGCACAGGGCGGCAGTGGCTGACTTGCCAATTCCAGTGTTCTGTGGCAAATGCCAAACAAGCTCCATGGTGCCGGGCAGTGAGCGCAGGGCCCACTAGAGAACGTTGGGCCCTCAGGCCCCCCTCGTGAAGTCTGTTTCTGATTGTTTGGTCAGAGACATTCGCACCAGTGGCCTGCTGGAGGTCATTTTGTAGGGCTCTGGCAGTGCTCCTCCTTGAACAAAGGAGCAGATACTGGTCCTGCTGATGGGTTGTAGACCTTCTACAGCCCTGTCCAGCTCTCCTGGAGTAACTGCCTGTCTCCTGGAATTTCCTCCATGCTCTTGAGATTGTGCTGGGAGACACAGCAAACCTTCTAGCAATGGCACGTATTGATGTGCCATCCTGGAGGAGTTGGACTGCCTGTGCAACCTCTGTAGGGTCCAGGTAGCGTATCATGCTAACAGTATTGAGAGTGTCCCTAGCCAAATGCAGAACTGGTGGAAAAAAATCAGAAAAGATGAGGAGGGGGAAAAATGTCAGTGGCCTCCACCTGTAAAATCATGCCTGTATTGATTGTCGTCTCATTGTTTCCCCTCTAGTGCACCTGTTGTTAATTTCATTAATAACAAAGCAGCTGAAACTGATTAATATATACATATATATTTAAATACATGTATATATACATGTATATATATATATATAT